TGAGGTCGCGCTGCATGGCCTGGAAGAGCGAGATCTGCTCCCCGGAGTAGGGGTCGGTGTAGCCGGTGACGGCGCGCTCGGCGGACAGCAGCTTCTCCCGGATCTCGCCGCCCACCACGCCGGCGGCCACGGCCTCCTCCACAGACAGCCTGCGGTCGTGCACCGGGTCGATGACGAAGCCGGTGGCCGCCTGCGCCTCCAGCAGCACCAGGGCCGTGCCGGGCCGCAGCACGCCCTTCCACATGGCCTCGTAGATGCTCATCTTCTCCTGGCGGCCGGGCTCGCCCCTGGCGGGCACCAGCACGCCCGCGATGCAGCTAGTGTCCCCCAGGTATCGCTGGACATCCTCCCCTGCTTGTACCTGCTGCACTGTCCGTCGGCCCTCTTCCAGATCCTCCAGGGTCTGTCTGTTTATGATACCTGAGCTGTGCAGCTCGGCTGCTGTGATCTGCTTTCGGAAACCCCTGAACCACATTGGTTTGCTCTTCTTTTCTTTTTCTGCAATTATTTGCAGAATTTTTTGTACCACTTTCTCCAGGGCTCCTGCAGTGTCCTGGCGGTAGGCCTTGACCAGCTCCAGCTTCTTCTCTCGAGTCACGTACTCTGAGTTCAGGAGCTCCCATACTGACGGCCGCTGGCCTCTGTACCTTCCCACTGTTATTTCTACCTGCTGTGCTTCCAGTGCCCTTTTGGTGGCCTCATCCACATACTCTGAGTCCTTTGTGTCCTTGACCACTGGGAATAGGGCCCATCCTGACCTTTCGTCCCTCTTGCACCTGTCCTGCAGCTCTTGGTATGTGACCTTCTCCTGCGTGTTGGGGTCCAGGAACCTTCTCCTCATGTGCTTCTGATCCAAGATGAGCATTTTCGTTTCCTCATCTAGGCAGCCCCGCCTGCAGGCCATGTCCAGGGGGATTCGGTGGTGGTGCTGTGGGTCCACAATGCCCCCTGTGGCCACCTGCACCTCCAGCAGCCTTAGTGCCTCCTCCCTTCCGACCAACTTCTTTTTCATGGCCTGGAACAGTGGTAGGGTCTCCCCGGTGGCTGGGTCTCTGTGGCCCTTGGCGGCTTTCTCAGCCCTGTGCAGCTGTTCCCGAAGCTCCTCGTCCACCAGGCCAGCTGCCAGGGCCTCGTCCACTGGCAGCTTCTGATGAGTGCGAGGGTCCCACATGAACCCAGTGGCTGCCTGTGCCTCCAGCATCTGGGCTGCGAACCCCGCAGGGATGTGCTCCTTCCTGCAGGCCTCGTGGAAGCCCATGACCTCCTGGGTGGAGGGTACAGTCACCCCAGCAATGCAGCCACTGCCCTCCAGGCACACACGCACACACTCCAGCTGCTGCAGGTCCTGGTGTCCACTGTCCTCCTTGTGAAGTGCATCCAGGGTCTCCTTATCGATGACCCCAGAGTTGAACAGTTCTGCGGCTGTCGTGTCCCCGTGGATGGCTGCCAATCTGATGTCTTGGTTTTGCTCCTCTGTTTCCTTGATGGTGGTTCTGATGACCTCCACCAGTTCCTCTAGTCCCACCTTCTGCTCTCTGTACTCCCACACAAGCTCTCTTTTCCGTTTCTCGCTGAAGTACTGCGAGGAGAGCAGGTCCCAGACAGACACAGTCCGACCGGCAAACCTCCCCACGTGCATGTTCACAGTTGTGGACCGCAGAGCTTGCTTCGTGGCCTCGTCGATGTAGGCATAGGGTTCTCCTTTCTTTACGATTTGCAACATGTACAGGCCCGTCTCGGGGTCCTCCACGCAGCGCTCCAGCAGCTGCATGTAGGTGAGGTTCTCGTGGGTGTTGGGGTCGAAGAAGCCCTTGGTGTCGTCGCTCGGGTCCGCCAGCACGCGGCTCATCTCCTCGTCAAAGTAGCCTCGCTGGTAGGCCACCTCCACGGGCACGCGGTGGCTGTGCACCGGGTCGATGACGCCGCCCGTGGCGATCTGGGCCTCCAGCAGGCGGATGCCGTGGTCCCTGACGATGAGGTCGCGCTGCATGGCCTGGAAGAGCGAGATCTGCTCCCCGGAGTAGGGGTCGGTGTAGCCGGTGACGGCGCGCTCGGCGGACAGCAGCTTCCCGTAAGTTTCCCTGCCAAACATGCCTGCCTGGAATGCCTGCTCCACGGTCAGCTTCTGATTCTTCACCGGGTCTATGATGAAGCCCGTGGCCGCCTGCGCCTCCAGCAGCACCAGGGCCGTGCCGGGCCGCAGGATGTGCCTTCTCAGGGCCTCTGGGATGCTCATCTTCTCCTTGGTGCCCTGGATGAGGACTCCGGCAATGAAATTGCCTCCTTCCAGAGACCGCCTCACACTGGCCATCTCTGTCACCTCCTGCACCGTCTTCTTACCCTGGGTCAGCTCATCTAGCGTCTGCTTGTTGATCAGCTGAGACCTGAACAGGTCCCTGGCTGACACCTGCTTCCGGAGCCCTCTAAAGGTGGCCTGTGGGGACTGCTTCTCTGCAGTCTCCACTAGGGCAGTGACCGCACTGACCACCTGCCGCAGGGCTGTGGCTCGCCCAGACCGGCAGAGTGCTGCCAGCTCCCGCCTCTTGTCAGCACTGATGTACTCGGAGTGTAGCAGGTCCCAGAGTGACACGATGCGCCCTTGGAACCTCCCCATACTGACAGGCACCTTCATGGCCCTCAGAGCCACTGTGGTGTGCTCGTCCACCTCAAGCACCGCATCCTGAGTGAGTGGCAGCAGCCACAAGCCGGTATCAGCATCCAGCACACAGAGCTCCTTGAGCTGCCCATATGTCACCCTGACCCGGGAATTAGGGTCAAAGAAGAACTTGTTGTCCTCCTTGGTGGTGGTCAGTGCCCGGCTCGTCTGCTCGTCCAGGAGGCCAAGCCTGCAGGCCGCTGCCTGAGGCAGGTGCACCCCATGAACAGGGTCTAATAGGCCCCCTGTGGCCAGCTGCACCTGCAGGAGGGGGAGGCCCTCACTCTCAGGCTCAAGCCCCTTCTCGATGGCCTGCCACAGAGAGAGGGAGCCCCCTGAGTAGGGGTCTGTGTACCCGGCCACAGTCCTCTCGACCTGGCTGAGCTGCTCACTCAGCTCCCTGCCTACCAGGCCGGCCTTCACTGCATCCTCTACCGATAATCTTTGGTTGGTCAGTGGGTCAACAAGGGAGCCAGAGGCCACCTGGGCCTCCAGCAGTCTCTGTCCTAGGCCTGTGGGCAGGAGGCCATCCCTCATGGCCTGGGCGATGCTCACTTTAGTCCCAGAGGGCTGGAGCAGCACCCCGGCCACGCAGCCTGTGCCCCAGAGGTGCGCCCTCACTGCCGGCTGCTCTGCCACCTCAGAGGGCGACTTTGTGCCCTGAGCCAGTGCGGCCAGTGCCTCCTGGGTGATGATGCCAGCGTCCCGCAGCCAGACGGCAGGAACCTCACCCCGGGGACCTGGCAGTGTCACACGGGCCTGGGCCAGGAGCTCTGCCTCCTGTACACAGCTGCACACRGTGGCCTGCAGCTGTGGCACGGAGACCTTCCCAACCCGCAAGTCCTCCAGGAGGCCTCTGCGCCGCTCCTCAGTGAAGTGGCAGGAGGTGAGCAGGTCCCAGAGGGACTTGCCGTCCTCACTCCCTGGTGTGCCCTGCAGGATGTCCTGCAGCTGAGTGTCAGTGGGAATGGCAGGAGCATCTTCTGCCAGAGGCAGGAGATAGAGGCCAGAGGCCTGGTCCCGGGGGCACTTCTCCAGCAACTGGGCATAGCTGGTGAAGCCCTGGCCGTCTGGCGTGGGGAAGGTCTTGGGAGAGCTGGACAAGGCCACATCCATCTCTCGGTCTATGAAGCCCCGCTGGATGGCCACAGGCAAGGGGAGGTGGTGGTGGCCTGTGGGGTCAATGGCCCCTCCTGTTGACACCTGGGCCTCCAGCAGCCGGGCAGCCTGCTCCATTGGGACCAGGCCCTTCTTCATGGCCTGGAACAGGGACACTCTCTTCCCCGAGAAGGGGTCTCTGAAGCCAGTGACGGCACCCTCGGCCCACCGCAGCCTGCTGCACACCTCTGGCCCCACCACGCCCCTGCGCACCGCCTCGTCCACGGACAGTGTCTCCAGACTGCTGGGGTCTGTGATGGCCCCCGTGGCTGCCTGGGCCTCCAGCAGGGTCAGGGCCACGCCAGGCGCCAGCAGCTTCTGCTTCATGGCCTGGTAAAGGCTGAGCCTCTGTTGGGAGGGCTGCAGCAGCACCCCAGCCACTGAGCCCGAGCCCTGCAGGTACCTGTGGACGCTGGCCATGTGGAAGAGGGCATCAGGGCTGACTGCCCCTGCCAGAACTTGTTCCAGGAGGTCCTGGTCAATGATCTGAGCCTCCAGGAGCTGGCCGATGGTGACCCGGCCCCGCAGTGCTGGCAGTGTGATGTCTGCCCACCTCCCTGACTCTCTGTGCAGCAGCTGCCTGACCTGCTCCAGTGTGACCTTGCGCTGTCCATAGCGCTGCAGCAGCTGCCTCCTCCAGGTCTCACTGAAGTACTCGGAGTTGATTAGGTCCCAGGCTGAGACCCTCTGTCCCCGGAACCTTCCACACTGCACAGGAAGCACCAGGTTCTGTAAGTCCTTCTGGGAGCTGCCGTCCACCAGCTGAGGCCGTGTGCTGCTAAGTGGCAGGAGGCGCAGGCCCGTCTCAGGGTCCTCCACACAGCGCTCCAGCAGCTGCAGGTAGGTGAGGTTCTCGTGGGTGTTGGGGTCAAAGAAGCCCTTGGTGTCGTCAGAGGGGTCCAACAGGATCAAGTCCAGCATCTGATCGAAGTAGCCGCGCTGGTAGGCCACCTCCACGGGCACGCGGTGGCTGTGCACCGGGTCGATGACGCCGCCCGTGGCGATCTGGGCCTCCAGCAGGCGGATGCCGTGGTCCCTGACGATGAGGTCGCGCTGCATGGCCTGGAAGAGCGAGATCTGCTCCCCGGAGTAGGGGTCGGTGTAGCCGGTGACGGCGCGCTCGGCGGACAGCAGCTTCAGGTACACATCAGGCCCGATGACACCAGCTCTCAGTGCCTCTTCCACAGAGTGCCTTCTGTTTTCTTTGGGGTCGATGATGAAGCCGGTGGCAGCCTGGGCCTCCAGGAGGATGAGTGCAGTGCCGGGCCTGAGAAGTCCCTTCCTGCGGGCCTCGTAGATGCTGAGGCGCTCCTGGGAACCGGGCAGAAGCAGGCCCGCGATGCAGCCCGTGCCCTGCAGGTACCTCCGCACAGAGTCCAGGCTGCCCACCTCGTGGGCTGAGGTCTGCCCATGTTCTAGCTGCTCATAGAGCTTCTGGTCAATGATCTCCGCTTTCAGCAACTCTCCCGGAGTCACAGTGTCCCTCAGTCCAATAAAGGTGACCCTGGCTGTGGCTTCAGCCTGCTCAATGGTGGCCTTCAGCTCTGCTGCCAGCTCTTCTACTGCGAGGGTCCCTTCCTGGTGCTGCTGGGCCAGCCTTGACCTCTGTTCCACAGAGACGGCCTCAGAGAACAGCAGCTCCCAGAGGGACACGGGCCGGCCCTGGAACCTCCCCACAGAGACGGAGGTCACGGCTGCACTCAAGGCCTTCCGAGTGTGGTGGCCAATGAACGGGGGTCCCTGGGGCACCTCTCTACGGTGTCCCCCAGGGAGAGGTAGGAAGGCAAGCCCCGTCTCTGGGTCAGTGACACAGRGGGCCAGCAGCTGCCCGTAAGACAGGTTGCTGTGTGTGCTGGGGTCTGAGAAGCCCGTGGCCTGGGAGAGGTGCTGCCAAGTCTCTTCATCCAGGAGGCCAAAACGCAGGGCAGCCTCCAGAGGTAGCCGGAACCTACGGGTAGGGCAGACCAGTCCACCCGTGGCCAGCTGGGCATCTAGGAGGCGCAGGGCCAGCGACCTTTCCACCAAGTCCTTCTTCATGGCCTGGAAGAGGGGGATGCGGGAGCTGCTAAAGGGGTCCTGGTACCCAGTCATGGCCTGCTCTGCCACCAGCAGCTGCTCATAAAGTTCTGGGCCCACCAGGCCGACCCTGACCGCCTCGTCCACATACAGCTGCCGGCCCGTCGCTGGGTCCACCAGGGTGTGGGTGGCAGCCTGAGCTTCCAGGAGCGGGAGTACAGCACCCATGGGGACCAGGTGCTCGGCTGCAGCCTGGAAGAAGCCCTTCTTGTGGCCTTCAGGCAGCAGGACGACCCCTGCCACACCGCCAGTGCCCTCCAGGTGGCGCCTCACCTCCGGGCGAGCACTCACACCGGGCTCTGTCAGTGTGCCCTCCTGCAGGCCTTGGACTGTCTCTTGGTCCAGGACCCCGGCCTCCAGCAGCTCAGCCACACTGGCCGCCCCACACAGGGTATGGAAGGTGGTCTTGAGTGGCAGCAGGGCCAGCCCTGAGCCAGGGTCCTCCACACACCGGCCCAGAAGGGCGGAGTACGGCAGCGGCTCCAGTGTGTTGGGGTCAAGGAAACCCGGGGTGTCCATGCTGGGCTCCTGCCCATCCAGACTGAGCCACGTCTCCTGGTCCAGGAGGCCCTTCTGGCAGGCTAGTGCTGGGGCAACTCGCATGCCCTGGACGGGGTCCACCAGGCCCCCAGTGGCCAGCTGGGCCTCCAGCCAGCGGCATCCCAGGGTCCTGTTGACAACTTCCTTCCTGATGGCCTGGAAGAGGGCCAGCTTCTCGCCCCCATAGGGGTCAGGATAGCCAGTGACCGCGCGCTCGGCAGCCAGCAGCTTTTCCTTCAGCTCCAGCCCTACCAGGCCCTGCCGCAGGGCCTCAGACACGGGCAGCAGCTGGCCCTGGGCGGGGTCCACCAGGCCCCCAGTGGCTGCTTGGGCCTCCAGCAGAGCCAACCCCAGCCCTGCGGGCAGCAGGCTYCGCTTCATGGCAGCATAGACACTCAGCGTCTGCCCCGAGGCCTCCACACGCACCCCTGCAATGCTCCCCGCTCTGGAGGGTGCGGCTACCTCTGCCTGGGGCTTGGAGGGGGCACTGGCTCCCGGCCCAGCCTTCATGTTTTTGGGGATGAAGGCCTGCTCAGCACCGTTGGTGAACAGGGTATCAAGAGGAGGAGTGACCTGGCCATTCATTGCAAACAGCTGGTCTTGCAGAACCCAGTTGAGGTCACACGTGTCCTGCGGTCACAGAAAGACACAGTCAGAGATGAGCATCTGGGCAGACAGGGGAGGCAAGGTCATAAGGTCAATCCCAGACCCTCCCCAAGCTGGTGAGCCCTGGATCTACCTCCAGAGACATGGCTGGAGCAGCCCTGGGCAGCCTCATCTTGGTAGCAGAGGGCCTGGGTAGCTCACTCTCTTGGGGTGTGAGCATTCGCCGTCACCATAGGGGAAGGGCCTGACCCTGCAGGCTCCCCAAAGCAGAGTGGAAGAGCTTCCCAGCATGCTAAGAAGAGCAGTGGACTGTAAAGGCATGGACCACGGATTGGCTACCAGGCCACCTCCCAGGGTCCGAGGGCTCTGTTTTCTCCTGTGGGTTGTCCCTTGGTGTCCACCACAGCCCTAGGCCCAGGGTGGGGAGCTTGGAGCCCTCCCAGACCCTAACTCTGCTATGGCTCTGCTGCACCTACCCCTGCTCCAAGGTCCCTGGGTCCAACAGACACAGGCCGGGCCTTCACCCCTGCTGGGCTGTACCCACTACCTCTGCCTGGGCCTGTCCCTTTCTAAGCTGGGTTGAATTGATCACCCGGAAAGATATGTCAAAATCCTAAGCCACATACCTGTGAATGTGACCTTATTGGGAAACAGGATCTCTATGAGGTAATTTAAATGAGATCACACTGGAAAAGGGCTGGCCCCAGTCCAGAATACCTGGTGTCCTTAGAAGAGAACAAACACCACAGACCGCACTGTGAGAGTCTGGAGCCACCAGGAGCTGGGAGAGGCAGAAAGGGTCCTCCCCTAGAGCCTGTGGAGGGACACAGCCCGGCCCACAGCCTGACCTAGGGTCCCAGTCTGTGTCACCATATGCTGATGGGCCCACACCATGGGCCCACACCTTCTTTCCCCACCTCCAGGAGCCAGGCCACTTCTGTGTCCTCAGAACCATGCCCAGTCCCTCTCCTGGTCCACACGCTTGGCAGAGGAAAGTGTCCCTCTGCTCAGAGGGACATCCAGGCCACCCACGGGCCTTGCCTCCCTCTGCACATGTCTGGGGAAGGCACCTCTGCCTGCCCTCACACCCAGGGCACAGCCCTTGCTGACAGCATGCGTTCCACTGCCAATCTCAACAGGTACTTTGGACCTGACAGGTACACAGGGACTCTGCCCGGGCCCCCGTAGTGATGGATTCTGCTCCATCTCCTTGTACCCATGAAATCAGAGCGCTGCTCAACCTGCCCTCAGATCCTAAGAGCTGCAGCTTGGTCCTGCCTGCCCTGGGTCCAGATCCACATGTGCAGCCACCCTGCACACTGTCTCTTAGTGGTCTTGGTCCTCCCTATAGCTGGTCCTACAGGAGGCGCTGCTCCATGCTGGCCCACCTCATGCCTGCTGCCCACCTGTGTCCTCCAGGCTCTGCGGCCGCACCCCATGGCTCATCCATCCCCTGGAGGCCTACCTCCCTGCTCCTGTGTCTCCGGAGCTCTCCCTCACTGTCCTCAGTCAGCTTCACAGCCCCTTTACCCTCCAAACACCCCCATCATGCTGGGAATGTGTGGGTGGGCAGGTGGGCCGGAGGGGACAGACACCAGTGCAGAATCCACCCGGTCCATAAGCCCGGGCTTGGATGTCACATGACCTGTGGGGTGGACAGATGCTGCCCAGCACAGGGAGGGCTTTGGGAAGACAGCCAGTACCAGCCCCTTCAAGAATTGCACTCCCTGAGGTCACTTCCTTACTGGGGCAGCCAATGATGGGCTCAGCCCCTTGATGACCCTGAGAGCCATCAAGTCTTCTAGAGAGACTGCCTCCAGTCCACCACCTTGGCCCAGTCCTCCTCCTCCCTTCCCTCCCACAGATGCTGCTCCTGAGTCCTCTGGGGTGTCCTGCTCAGAACCTTAGACATTGATGCAGGACCAGGCTGACCCCTCGGTGAGGCCATCAGTGTCTGCCACCGCCTGGCCGCAGGGTCCAGTGGAGCCCAGGGGGGAGAAAGCAGCACAGCCTCAGGCTCTCCTGGGGGGCGCACTGGGGGAGCAATGTAGGGCAGGAGAGAGGGTGTGGAGGACACAGGCCAGTGGAGTGGGGGCTGTAGCCAAGCAACGGAGCTCTGGGCAAAGATCCCAGGAGGCCGGGCTAGCCTGCTGGACTGCCGAGGGGTTCCTAGGGCAGAGCAGGCCCAGGCAGCTCCACTGGGAGGGGCCAAGTCCTCCCACCAAGGGGAGAACCCAGCTCTGGGAATGGGACATCCGGGTCAATTTAACCCCAAATATCAAATCCCCAGATTCCCCAAAATGTGCATCCTAGGGGCCAGCACTTTCCTCCTTGCCTCCCGCTCTCAGCAGCCCAGCACGGGCTGAGAAGCCAGGGCCCACACAGAGGGGCTACAGGGCTTAGAGAAGGGCTCTCCCAGGATTTGGGACAGAAGGCCCCTGGACCATGTGAACCTGCTGCTGGGACAGCTTCTAGAGCCGACAGAAGGCACCGCCCCCCAGAGTGAGGCAGGGCAGGCGTGGGCAGCAAGGGCTCCACGCTGACTGACTGCAGGGCCCCGAGGTGCTGTTGGGAAGGAAGTGACCCCCAGGCACAGAGCCCCTAGTGCTAGGCTCACCAGGGGAAGCCTGGATGCAAGTATCAGCACAGGAGGCAGAGGGCAGGCGAAGGGCACAAGCCCTTGTGAAGGACAGGCAGGAGTCGGGGCTTGGGGACCAAGCAGCTCTGGGCCCCCAGCCTGAAGCGGAGCCCTGGGTGGAGCTGGGCAGGCCCAGGAGGAAGAACCTGCAAGAACAGCCCAGCCCTCCTGCAGGGAGCCCAGCTGCTCACTGGGGGACTGCTCTGGAGAGTGACTTTGACCTATAGAATGCCACATCTCAGGGGCAGAGAGTCACTGGGCTCTCTGTGTAGTGGACATCTGTTGGCCCAGGCGGGCAATGGAACCACTCTGTGGTACGTCCCTGGTTTCTACATGTCTTTTGGGGGGACACACTCAGGAATTCTTTGGCCTTGAAGGATGAGCTGTCCTGTAGGGAAGGCCAAGAAGAGGGCAGTGGAACTGGCCACAGGGCCCTGGGCACCTGGCAGTGGCCCAGTCAGGAGCGCTGCCCTGCAGTGGTGGCAGGACAGCTGCTGAAGCACAGCTGGGACGCCAGCTCCCAGTGACCCTGTGGCTCGTGCCATCAAAGGAGGCAGGACTGCTGCTCTAAGCTGTGGGTTTCCCGCAGCACCACAGCCAGGAGCCAAGGCCTGGGAGCAGCGGTGGCCCACCCCCTCTCTGCAGCCCATGCCTGTGGGACAGCACAGCAGGTCAGCCTCTCCCTCTGCCAGCCCTCTCCTTCCCTCCCTCCCTCAAGACCTCTGTCTCAGACTGCTACCTGCAGAGGCTGCCACACTGGGCCTGTCCAGCCCAGCCCAGGGCAGGGCAGAGCACAGAGGAGAGGGTCATGGGGTTAGGGCCATGTACCTGTCCCCTGACTCCTGGCTGGGATACAGGAGAAGCAGTTCTCCACCCCAAGGTGGAGCACAGGGGTTGGGGCCACAGCACGGGCAGGGGTGGTAAGGTGGCCTGGACTTGGTTAGCCCTTGTCCTGGACCAGAAGGCTGCACCTGGACAGAAAGCAGAAAGAGCTGACAGAAGCCCAGAGAGGCCCACGTTTCCTGAAGAGAGACCGGAGGGCAGTCGCTGACCCAGGGAGCTGCTAGAATGGGCTGGGCAGGGAGGGCTGTGAGCCCGCTCAGTGTGCACACTGTGCCGTGGCTGGGTGGCCACTCCCTGCTGGCTTGTGGGTGACCTTGGGTCTGGTATGAAGCTCCAAAGCCCTGCCCTTTCCAGTTGCCAGGAGGAAGGCACAGAAGTGGGTGCCTGGGAGGGGCAGAGCAGAGGTCTGGAACTCTGGAACGTGGGAGAGAACCAGACTAGGGCGCCCCAGGGGTCCTGGGAGGAGGCCCAGGCAAGCCCAGCGCTGGGAAAGCAAAGTGCCAGCCTTCCAGAGTAGGGCACCAGTATGAGCAAGCTGTCAGGAGGCAAAAAGCCAGTGGTCTTTGGGGCAGGGAAGGTGGGGGGAGAGGTGGTGGAGGTGGAGCAAATCCCCCCCCCAGGCAACCCAGCACCAAGGGGAGGGAAGGGCTGTTCCTAAGAAGGGCCACCATCTGTCTCACACTGAAGAGTAGGACCCCCCACTCCAGCCCAAGACAAGGGTGTCCCCTTGAGCCAGGTCAGAACAGAAGAAGGACTCAGCCCACACGTGGAGGCAGAGAGTCTGGCCTTTTCCCTATTGTGGGGCTGATGGGAGGTCACTGCCCGTCTGCACCCTGTCAAGACAGACAGAAATSAACGGCCCTGATAAGAGCTGGGCATGATGGGCAGGTGGAGGTGGGGAGGCAAGGCCCTTCCTGCCTCTGCCTGGTATCACCAGAGTGACCATCCCTGGACAGCTAAACCTGGACAGCAGTTGGCCTTTCAGTGAGTCAGCCCCACCTGTCTCACCCCAGCAGATGTAGGAGCCAGCCTCAAAGCATCCAGCCTGATGGCCTGGTGCCCGTGGGTCTAGGCCTGCTCTGCTRCTGACACCTCCCGCAAGGAGGGCTTGGGGGGTGCCGGGATGTGGCTCAAGCGGTAGCGCGCTCGCCTGGCATGCGAGCGGCTCAAGTTCGATCCTCAGCACCACATACCAACAAAGATGTTGTGTCCGCCGAGAACTAAAAAATAAATATTAAAAAAAAAGGAGGGCTTGGGAACCTGACCTTCAGTGACTGCCCAGAACCGCTGGGCAGGGAGACTCCTTCCCTGAGGCATGCTCGAACTGGGGCCTCGGGGTCCCCATCTCTGCAGGGGGGCTCAGGGACCCCCACTTCGGACCCAGAATTCTGCCTGCCCAGGGCTGGAAACTGGAGGGCCAGAGCCCAGAACTCCGGGCCAGCTGCGCCAGTCCCCGTGCTGTGTGCCAGCGCTCTGGGCCTCCGGGCCTCGAGTCTCC